GTGTCTCTATGTCCTTACTCATGCTGTTGAGCTTCCTCAAGATTATGGCTATGAATTCTAGCTCTGTTAACATGCCTAATTGTTCCACATTGATCTCATCTTCGGTGGAGGTCTCTTGCTCTTTCATTTGGCTTCTGTTTCTGTGTTTCACCATTTTGGCTATCACTGTGGGCTTTGGAGCCTGTCAAGTTCTCCCTGTGGGTGTTGGTGTTCTGCTGTTTGTGGCTCCCTCTCCTGTGTTTAGATGAGCGAGGGAGGACCCACGTTGAACATCACTGTCAAGTCTTACTTTCCTGGTTAAAGTTGCCAGCCCAGGAAAGGTACTGTTATTCTCTAGCTTTTTGCCTGGATGCTAGCAGTCTAGGTTACTTGATGAGTTTTGCGTTGTCAGTTGATTGAAAAACTCCCTCTGGTGCTCAGCCAAGGGGCTTTCACGAGGGCGGGGCAGATGCTGGTTGTTAGTGAGCCTCAATTAGCCCTTCAATGGCCCATAAGGTGGGGTTGGATCTCCGAGGGAGGGGCTGCTGCCTCTCCTCAGAGCCCTGGGAAGGAGCAATGTGGCCACCGTTCTGAGTGGCTGCACTCAGCTCTGAGCACCCTCCAGATCCTGAGTGTCCCGACACAGTTCCAGTCTAGTCTGCCCTCCCTCTGCCGGAGCCCAAGGTGAGTGGCTGTGGCTGTTTTAGCCTCTGTCCCGGCTGCGCTGTGGAGCCGCCTGGGAGTGTAACCCGAGGGCGCCGCTCCCAGCTAAGGCCGCTGCCGAGCTGCGGACCGTGGGCTCCCAGCTCCCGTCTCGCGCCTTCGCAATCCTACCGGGATGGAGTCAGTGTCCCTCGTTGTATGGTCGTCACAAGCTGCTTTTCTGTTGGTTTTTCCCCTCGATTTGTCTGTGTTATAGTTGTAATTCCAGTTTGGTTCTGGGAGACAGTCTGTGTAGCTCCATTCACTCCACCGCCATTTTTCCTTCCTTGTACTATTTTTTTTTAAACCTCACCTGAGGACATGTTTAGAGAGAGAAAGAAATTGATCAGTTGCCTTCCATATGTGCACTGACTGGGGATTTGAACCCACAGCCTGTCATTGCTCAGGATGACACTTAACCAACTGAGCTACTCTGACTGGGCTGTACAACTATTTTTTAAAACTTGGAATTAATGATTGTTTAATTTATTGTTTGTTAGTTACCTGAAACTCCAGTAGATCTGTGAAAGTTTTCTAATGCTGTTTTCCATGTGATCGAATGCATCAGATAATCCATGAGTGCTGTTTTCTTCTGGTCCTTCCTCCAGGGAGCATTCCTTCCACCCCTGCGTCCCCTGTGGTCCCACTCCATCCTGCTCGGTTCTTCAGAGCTTATCAACTGCTAGGAGTATTTGTTTCTTTTAAGAATGTATTGAACTTTCATTTGTGAGCCTAATGTAATAAGGAGGGCCTTCTGCTTTCCAGACTTTATATGTATTTTCCCTTGGACTGCCTATCCAGATTCTCCTTCATTGCTTTTCAGATTTAGAAGTAGTACTCAGACTTTTCAGAATATTGCCCCCTGACTCACATTTTTTTTTACAAAGAACCTTGTGTATAGTGTATGTAGTATAGCTCTTGGGGTTCCATCTTAGTTTGGTTACCATATTCAGAGATCATGGCATGATATCGTGCCCCTTGTTGTGTTTGATAACTGCAGGTGTTTGTTGATTTATTTTGTACATTTCAGTAAGTGTTGAGGAAGAGAGGGTTGGTGATCTGGGTTCATTTGTAATCTTATCCTAGAAATCTCTCCCTACTTTTCGAATTCTAAATTTTCATTGTCTGCAGAGCAATAATATAGATGTCTAATAACTTATATAGCCAATACTCTGTTATTGGATTTTACTTGGTTCCTAATTTTATGCATTGCAAGTATTGTGCTTGTGAGGGTCCTTTTACATACAACTTTGGCCTATGTTATTTCCTTAGGATGGAATCTCAAAGTGTAATTATTAGATCAAAGGATACATCATTAAGACCCTTAATACTTGTTTCTAAATTTCTGTCCAAAGTATTGAATCCAGTTATATACTAGTATCAGTCAGCACTGTGGATTATAATGAGAAAAAAAAAAAAAAAAAACTTTCTAAGAGAAAAATAATATCTCATAATGCACCTTTTAATTTGCATTTGTGTTTTTTCCTTCTCTCTCTCTCATTTTGGCAGTGGGGATGGGCAATATTTAGGTTTTCTTAATGAGTTATCCATGCTTGTTTAACGCCATCGTAAGTTTATTGAGCCTTTATCATGTTAATTTTTTATTGCCTTTTACTTTGATTTGCTTTTGAATTTGATTTTAATTTTTATGTGATTAAATGTATTAGTTTTTTCCTTTATGGCTTCTCCTATATTTTGTGCTTTGAAAGGCTTCCTTTATGTCAACATCAAATAAAGAGTCACTATCTTTCCTTTAGTTCTTTTAGATTTTATTTTGTAAAATTAACTGGTTAGTTCCTTTATTGTCATGTATAATATGACACAAAGAATCATGAGCTTTTTCTGTATATAGTTAAACTCATTCTTCTGTGTTATTTAATATCAGATTTCCAGATGATTTGAGTAGTCACCTTTATCATATACTAAAATGTCCCCTCACCAGGGTCTGTTTCTGAGCTTTTAAATTCTGTTCTGCTTATCTTTTTATAATAGTGCAGTATGCTTTTAAAAGATGATAATAACCTTATAATAATATGTTTCACTCTCTGGTATTGTTTGGTCCTTCAAAAATTCCCAGGACTGGAAGTTGATACCTGTGATTTACCTAAGTCAGGGAACTGCCAAAGGGGAGCCCCTTACCGGCCAGGGTGAGACCAGTACCAGAACGGAAGCTTAGGGCCACTTTCCTGGGCTCCTTGAAGCTGCCCTGATGAGAAACAACTTAGGTGTCAGCCTAGGAAAGGGCTCAGTGAGCAGGTTCACTCAGTCTGGGTGTGAAGATTGGAGGGATGTGGGGTCTTAAAGCCAAATATATAAGTAGTACTTTTAAAAGCTAAATTATCTGTTGAACATAGACGCCTCTATAGGCACCCAAGCATTTGAGTTTGGATGCCCCTTTTCTTTCCAGATGTCTACTAGCGGCTATATTATGACTTTCTTTCCTCCTCAAGGAAGCCCTTTGAAGCTCCTGCCAGGTCGGGGATAAAGGAGAGAAGAATGAAGAAATAAGAATGAGAATAGAATCAAAGCATTTCTGTCTGTATGCTTTAAAACACACCTATAATATCTTTAGAGATGCTTCCAAAGCTTGAACTATTTCAGTCCCATTGTGATTTTTTTTTAATTGTAAAAAATGATGAGTGGATTTTTATTTATTTATTTATTTATTTTTCTTAATTCTCACCCCAGGATATTTTTTCCATTGAAGTTTTTAGAGAGAGTGGAAGGGAGGGTGGAAGTGGGGATAGAGAGACAGAGAGAGAGAGAAACATTGATGTGACAGAGAAACATTGATTGGTTGCCTCCCACATGAACAAACCATGGCTGGGGACTGAACCTGCAACCCAGGTATGTGCCCTTGACTGAGAAATCAAGTCTATGACCCTTCAGTGCGTGGGCTGACATTTCTGACCACTGAGCCACACCGGCCAGGGCTAGTGGATTTATTTTAGAATTTCTGCTTGGCAGAGGGCACATTTATCAGTAGAAATGAGAGAACACACCAGTTAAATTCTCATAGTCTTAATCAAAAGCCCCACCATCCTAGCTCTATAGTCAGAGTCATGTTTGGTTGAAGAATTTGAATCTGTTTATAGCTATCACTCTACCTACAAGGTGGTGGGGGCGTGCTTTCCCTTTTTCTCTGACGTATGATATTTCTCAATTCTTGTAGTCCAATGTAGATAAGGCTGGAATATATCATAAGACTTTACCAAAGGCAGGGGGACAAATAAAGGAAGTAAACAGAGAGAGTAGCGTGCAGTGAGGTCATTTTTCATATGAGGTCTAGTTTTAGTCATCTTCAGCTTTGCTTTCCCTCTAGCTCCTGCTTGCCTCAAATTCACAAAAGCCATCTTTCCCCTACTACTCAGGAGAATCTTCAAGCGTATGTAGACTCTAAATTTCAAATCTGAAAGAGAGGACTTTATCATTGACACTGAGAATGCTGCCTACATGGGTGTGGGCTGTGCTTTCCAAATCGTATCTAACTGTATTCCTATGGCTTCTACAAGACAATCATATCTAGTTATATCCTACTAATAGTTATATTAGTAGCCTAATATTCTTACTAGCAAGAAGCATGTGGTGAGGGGCTTGGGAATCTGTCATACGTTTTTTATATAATGAATCTAAAGAATACATTCATTTCCTGGCTTTTTAAATAAGGAGTACAGTGCTATATAAAACAACAGTGGACTAGAACTAGTAGACCTGGGTTCTAGTCTGATTTACCTGTGAACAGCCTTCCCTCTTTGACAAGTCACTCAGTCTTTCTATAGTTTTGTTGTGACATTTGCATATAGTTTGTAATTTTATGATTTTGACTATAATTGAATTGTAAAATTTGTACTTTTCTTTGTGATATATGTGTTTTTAATATGATGCTGAGATATTAATGAGAAATAAAGGCTCAATTACTGTTCCAATGAGAAAATATGATCCATTTAATAATATTAGACTTTATTGGACAGGGTCTCCATTATGGTGACTGGTGGGACCTGCTTATATTCAAAAGGGGCCATGGAGCTTATTATTACTTTCTTATAAAGTAAATAACTTATTTATTCATCATATACAAATTTAGATGTCCTTAAACAATTTAATTGCATTCAGTTAAATCTATATTTAGAGCCTATATTTTTAGGTTTTATTTCTTTCCTTTTTTGACTTTTCATCTTTAAAATATTTAAATTAAGTAAAAAAGCAAACAAAAGCATCATTTGTTAAAGTACTTTAAGGGTAAGTTATTTAGTACTCTTGGTTAAGATAGACCACTTTCTTCTTTGTACTTAAGTGTAAATTTTTTTTTTTTTTTTTAGAGTGAAAAGCTTTTGTTATATGATACAGTCCAGAGTGAACTAGAGGAGAAGATAAGGAGGCTTGAAGAGGACAGGCACAGCATTGACATTACCTCAGGTAAGAATGGTGTGACTGATGTTCCGTGTCAGTGACACAGAACCTTCGCTTACTGTAGTGTCTCATAATATCTCAGCCTCCTAATAGAAATGCTTTGCAGTGAAGTGCTCCAATGGGGGGGGGGGGGGCGGGGGCTTCTAAACAATTCAATAAGATGGTGATTGTTCTTTTGATTTGAACTCAGACTTCAGAAAGATGTAGAAAATTGAGCTCTTGAAAAGGGACAAAATAGAAGTCTGACAGGACCTATAAGAATAAGAATAATATACTATAAGAATAGTAAGAATATTTTTAAATTTTTTTTATTGATTGATTTTTTTTTTAAAATACGTTTTTAAAATTGATTTTAGAGAGAGGAAGGGAGAGGGAGGGAGAGAAAGAGAAAGAGAGAAACTCAATGAGAGAAACAGTGATCAGCCGCCTCTGCATGCCCCCTACTGGGGATTGAGCCTGCAGCCCAGGCATGTGCCCTGACCAGGATTCAAACCCACAACCTCTCAGTACATGGGACGACTCTCAACCAACTAAGCCACACCGTCCAGGGCTTACTGATTTTTTTTAGAGAGAGAGGGTAAGGGAGAGAGAAACACTGATTTTGTTATTCCACTTATTTATGCATTCATTGGTTGCTTCTTGTATGTGCCCTGAGTAGGAATCAAACCCACAACCTTGGTGTATTGAGATGATGCTCTAACCAACTGAGCTAACTGGCCAGGGCAAGAATATTATTATATTGAGAATAGTTTTGGAAGACAATAAGAATAGGCTCTGAAGACAGCTATAGCATATATTCTTCTTCCCTCTAAGTCTTGAAAGATTGTCATGTGGAAGAAAGAATAAAAACATTTTCTCTTTGGTACCACACAAACTAGGACAAATGGATAGAAGTTACAGGGAAGCAGATTTGTGTCTCAGATCAAGGAAAAACTCGTTAATAATTACATCAGTGCAATGTGAAATTGGCTTTTTCAGGAGTATTGTGGAAAGGCTTTCTCCATTGAATGGAATATTTATTGGGGTATCTTATAGTTCTTGCATATGTATTATTTTATTGTAAATTCTATTGTTCTGGTGTAGAGTAGACATAGTGGAGTCAGACAAGCTGAACTTAATGCCACTGCTCCATTACATGCTAGTTGGGTAACCATGGGTGACAGTCACTTTTGCTTTCTAAATTAGTCTCTTCATCTGTAAAACTGAATACCTGCCTCAGAGGTAGCTTTGGGATTAGTTGAGACAATCTGTCATGTATATTTAACGAAATGCCTGACATATATTCACCAATTATTAGTAATTAAGTGCCAAGTTGATTTATGTTTTTAAAAAAAGAGAAAAATTCATAAATATATAGCTGCTCCCGAAATTCTATATAGTCACATATCTATACACATACACATAGCCACCGATGAAATTTTTCTATGTTTAAATTACAGTCTTTTTGTTCCTCCTCTGGTCTCCAGAAATCAGCTAATACTTAATTTTTATTTACTTGCCAGAGCTGTGGAATGATGAGCTTCAGTCGAGGAAGAAGAGGAAGGATCCTTTCAGTCCAGACAAAAAGAAGCCAGTCGTCGTTTCAGATATCCTCTTCCAGTTTCTGGGGTGGTGGTTGTTGCTTTATGTACATTTTTGCACTGGACATACCTTTATAACTTATTGATATACATTGCCTTTATTTGCAAGATCTGTAACAAGCAAAAGACAATTTATAAAAGTGATTAAAGGCAGAAGGATATAATTTAGATGAAGAGGGGCAGGGGAGGAATAGAAATTTAGTTACAGTCTCAGCTTCAAAAATCAATATGGCTTTATAGTTCACAAAGGCTTTGCTGCGAAACAGCTGTTTCATATATAAGCACGATTGCATACTTCCTGTGTGCTTTTTACATTTTTAATGTTTCTCAAAGTGGAGTGTCTTTAAATTAATATGTGCATTCAATCTTGGTGTTTCCTATGGTACCCTCCCGCCCCTTACCTCTGCCTTCTCCTCCACCTCAAAACAGTGATTAAGTTGGTGGTATATCTGGCAGTTATTTACAGGGTGGGGCAAAAATAGGTTTACAATGGTTTGTATGGGAAATAATGAAAAAATAATACTGCAAGAATAAACTGTTTCATGTACTCACTACTATAAACCTACATTTTTTCCTCCTGATGATTAGTGATACTGAGTATCTTTTTGTGTGTCTGTTGTCGTTGGAGAGACTGGATTGTTTTCATTTTGTTTTGTTTTTTAATATTTGACTGTTGTTTTTTTTATTAATTTATTTTTGTTACAGATGTTTTTCCTTTTTCTCCCATTGACACCCTCCTCCCTATCTCGCTGCCACCCCCCCCCTCCCCAACACTATTGTCTATGTCCATTGGATATGCCTACATGCATGTAAGTTCTTTGGTTTATTTCATCTCTACCCCATGCACCCCTCATCTGAAGTTTGTAAGTCTGAACCATACTTCTATGTCTCTGGGTCTGTTTCATTCATCACGAAATCACATGGTATTTGTCTTTCTTTAGTTTATTTCGCTTAGCATAGTACGCTCCAGATCCCTCCATGTCATCTCAAAGGATAAGAGATCTTTCTTCCTTATAGCTGTATAGTATTCCATTGTGTTTATGTACCACAACTTTTTTATCTACTCATCTACTGATGGACACTTGGGCTGTTTCCTGATCTTAGCAATTGTAAATAGTGCTGTTATGAACATAGTACATGTATTCTTGCTGATTGGTGTTTCAGGCTTCTTAGGATATATTTCTAGAAGTGGGATCACTGGGTCAAATGGCATTTCCATTTCTAATTTTTTGAGGAAACACCATGTTGATTTCCATAGTGGCTGCACTAGTCTGCATTACCCACCAGCAGTGTACTAGAGTCCCCTTTTCTCCACACCCAGCAATTGTTGTTTGATGATTTGTTGATGATGGCCATTCTGGCAGGTGTGAGGTGAAACCTCTTGGTCATTTTATTTGCATCTCTCTGATGATTAGTGATGTTGAACATTTCTTCATATGTCTCTTGGCCATTTGTATGTCCTTTTTGAAGAGGTGTCTACTTAGGTGCTCTGCCCATTTAAAAAAAAGTTGTTGTTTTTTTTTTTTTCATTATTGATTTTTGAGAGAGAGAGAGAGGAAGGGAGAGGGAGAGAGATAGAAACATCAATGAGAGAGAACATTAATCAGCTGCCTCCTGCGTGCTCCCCTTCTGGGGATTGGTCCCATAACCTGGGCATGTGCCCTGACCTGGCGACTTCTTGGTACATGGGTTGACACTCAACTACTGAGCCTCACCAGCTGGGCCTCTGCCCATTTCCTAATTGGAGTCTATGTCTTCCTTTTGTTGAGTTGTATGAGTACTCTATATATTTTGCAGCTTAATCCCTTATGTGATGTGTCATTGGCAATTATGCTCTCCCATATAGTGGGTTCCCTTTCCATTTTGATGGTTGGTTTGTTTTTTTTTGCTGTGCAGAGCTTTTTAGTTTGATGTAGTCCCGTGTGTTCATTTTTTCCTTTCTTTCTCTTGCCTTAGGTGATGTATCAGTGAAAATTCTGCTGTGTGTGATGTCTGAAATTTTGTTGCCTACATTTTCTTCTAGGATTTTTATGGATTCAGGAGTCACATTTAAGTCTTTTATCCATTTCGGGTTTATTCTTTTTTTTTTTTTAATAAATTTTTTTTTTTTTTTTGTTACAGATATTTTACCTTTTTACCCCATTGGCACCTCCCACCCCACCCCCCCCTCCACCCTGTCCCCGGCTTAGTTGTCCATGTCCATTGGTCATGCATACATGCATATAAGTTCTGTGGTTTATCTCTTCCCACCCCCACACCCCCCATCCCCTCTTCTGAGGGATGTCAGTCTGTGCCCTACTTCCATGTGTCTGGGTCTAGTGTATTCCTCAGACTGTTATGTTCATTATATTCCGTATATAAGTGAGATCATGTGGTATTTGTCTTTTTCTGCTTGGCTTCTTTCACTTAGGATAATACTTTCCAGGTCCCTCCATGTCGTCTCAAAGGATAAGAGATCTTTCTTTCTTACCGCTGCATAGTACTCCATTGTGTATATGTACCACAGCTTTTTTATCCATTAGTCTACTGGTGGACACTTGGGCTGTTTCCAGATCTTAGCTATTGTAAATAGTGCTGCTATGAACATGGCGGTACATATATTCTTCCTGATTGGTGTTTTAGGCTTCTTAGGGTATATTCCCAGCAGTGGGATCACTGGGTCAAATGGAAGTTCAATTTTTAATTTTTTGAGGTAGAACCATATTGTTTTCCATAGCGGCTGCACCAGTCTGCATTCCCACCAGCAGTGTATTAGAGTCCCCTTTTCTCCACACCCTCGCCAACACTTGTTGTTTGATGATTTGTTGATGGCGGCCATTCTGACAGGTGTGAGGTGATACCTCATTGTTGTTTTAATTTGCATCTCTCTGATGATTAGTGATGTTGAGCATTTCTTCATATGTCTCTTGACCATTTGTATGTCCTGTTTGGAGAGGTGTCTATTCAGCTCCTCTGCCCATTTTTTAATTGGGTTCTTTGTCTTCCTTTTGTTGAGTTGTAGGAGCACTCTATATATATTGGAAATTAACCCCTTATCTGATACATCATTGGCAATGATGTTCTCCCATACAGTGGGTTGCCTTTCCATTTTGATGATTGTTTCTTTTGCTGTGCAGAAGCTTTTGAGTTTGATGTAGTCCCATGTGTTCATTTTTTCCTTTGTTTCTGTTGCCTTAGGTGATGTATCAGTGAAAATTCTGCTCCGTATGATATCCGAAATTTTGATGCCTACATTTTCTTCTAGAATTTTTATGGATTCACAGGTCACATTTAAGTCTTTTATCCATTTTGAGTTTATTTTTGTGTATGGTGTAAGTTGATGGTCTAGTTTCATTTTTTTGCATGTAGCTGTCCAATTTTCCCAACACCATTTATTAAAGAGGCTGTCTTTACTCCACTGTATGCTCTTGCCACCTTTGTCAAATATTAATTGAGCGTATTGCCTTGGGTCCATTTCTGGGTTTTCAGTTCTGTTCCACTGGTCTATATGTCTGTTCTTGTGCCAGTACCAGGCTGTTTTGGTTACAGTCGCTTTGTAGTATAACCTGATATCTGGTATTGTGATCCCACCTACTTTGTTCTTCTTTTTCAAGATTGCTGTGGCTATTCGGGGTCTTTTTTGGTTCCATATGAACTTTTGAAGTATTTGTTCTAGTTCTATGAAATATGTCGTTGGTATTTTGATGGGGATTGCATTGAATCTATAGATTGCTTTGGGTAGTATGGACATTTTAATGATGTTAATTCTTCCAATCCATGAACAGGGTATGTGCTTCCACTTTTTTATATCTTGCTCTATTTCTTTTTCAATGACCTGTAGTTTTCTGCAAATAGGTCCTTTACTTCTTTGGTTAAGTTTATTCCTAGGTATCGTAATATTTGGCGCGATGGTAAATGGGATTGTTTTTTCAGTTTCTCTTTCTGTGAGTTCATCATTGGTGTACAAGAATGCCGTCGATTTCTTGACGTTAATTTTGTATCTTGCTACTTTGCCAAATTCATTTATTAAGTCTAATAGATTTTTGATGGAGTCTTTAGGGTTTTCTATGTACAATATCATGTCATGTGCAAATAATGACAGTTTCACTTCCTCCTTTCCAATTTGGATCCCTTTTATTTTTTCTTCATGTCTGATAGCTGTGGCTAAGACTTCCAGTACAATGTTAAATAAGAGTGGCGAAAGTGGACATCCCTGTCTTGTTCCTGTTCTTAATGGAAATGTTTTTAGTTTCTGTCCATTGAGTATGATGTTGGCTGTAGGTCCTTCATATATGGCCTTTATGATGTCAAGATATGATCCCTCTATTCCTACATTGCTGAGCGTTTTTATCAGAAATGGATGCTGGATTTTGTCGAATGCTTTTTCAGCATCTATTGATATGATCATGTGGTTTTTATTCTTCATTTTGTTTATGTGGTGTATCACGTTTATTGATTTGCGAATATTGTACCAGCCTTGCATCCCTGGAATGAATCCCACTTGGTCATGGTGAATAATTTTTTTGATGTATTTCTGGATCCGATTTGCTAATATTTTGTTCAGGATTTTGGCGTCTATGTTCATCAGGGATATTGGCCTGTAGTTTTCTTTCTTCGTAGTGTCTTTTTCTGGTTTTGGAATTAGAATTATGCTGGCCTCATAGAACGAGTTTGGAAGTCTTCCTTCTTCTTGAATTTTTTGAAATAGTTTGAGGAGAATGGGTGTTATTTCTTTTTTGAATGTTTGGTAAAACTCCCCCGTGAAGCCATCTGGGCCTGGGCTTTTGTTTGCTGGGAGAGTCTTGATTACCTCTTCAATTTCCTTAGTTGTTATTGGTCTGTTCAAGTTTTCTATCTCTTCCGGGAATAGTTTTGGGAGACTGTGTGTTTCTAGAAATTTGTCCATTTCGCTTAGATTGTCGAATTTGTTGCCATATAGTTGTTCATAGTAGTTGTTAACGATCTTTTGTATTTCCGTGGTGTTGGTTGTTACTTCTCCTCTTTCATTTCTGATTTTGTGTATTTGGGTTCTCTCTCTTTGTTTCTTGGTGAGTCTAGCTAAGGGTCCATCAATCTTGTTTATCTTTTCGAAAAACCAGCTCTTTGTTTCATTGATCCTTTGAATTGTTTTTTTGGTCTCTATGTCATTTATTTCTGCTCTGATGTTTACTATTTCTTTCCTTCTACTTGCTCTGGGGTTTTCTTTTTGTTTGCTTTCTAATTCTTTAAGTTGTGAGGTTAGACAGTCAATTAGAAATTTTTCTTGTTTTTTGAGGTAGGCCTGTAGTGCTATGAACTTCCCTCTCAGAACTGCTTTCGCTGCATCCCATAGATTTTGTGTTGTTGTGTGTTCATTTTCATTGGTTTCCAGGAAGTTTTTAATTTCTTCCTTGATCTCCTCGGTGACCCATTCATTGTTTAATAACATGCTATTTAGCCTCCATGTGTTGTAATGTCTTTGCATGTTCTTGTTGCAATTGATTTCTAGTTTCATGGCATTGTGATCTGAGAAGATGCTTGATATGATTTCAATCTTCTTGAACTTGTAGAGATTTAGTTTGTGTCCTATCATGTGGTCTATCTTTGAGAATGTCCCATGTGCACTTGAGAAGAATGTGTATTCTGTAATTTTGGGGTGTAATTCTCTGTAGATATCTATTAAATCCATTTGGTCTGGTGCTTCATTTAGAGTCTCTGTTTCCTTGCTAATTTTTTGCCTAGAGGATCTATCCAGTGCTGTCAACGGGGTGTTGAAGTCCCCTGCTATGATTGTATTGTTGTCGATTTCTCCTTGGAAGTCCTCCAGAAGATTTTTAATATATTTGGTGCTCCTATATTGAGTGCATATATGTTTATCAAGGTTATATCTTCTTGTTGGATAGATCCTTTCAATATTATGTAGTGGCCGTCTTTGTCTGTAGTTATGGTCTTCATTTTGAAATCTATTTTATCAGATATGAGAATTGCTACCCCAGCTTTTTTTTGCTTTCCATTTGCTTGGAAAATTTTTTTCCATCCCTTCACTTTCAACCTATGTGAGTCTTTTGTTGAGAGGTGGGTCTCTTGTAAACAACATATAGATGAGTCATGCTTTCTTATCCAATCAGCTACTCTGTGTCTTTTTATGGAGCATTCAATGCATTTACATTTAAGATGATTATTGATATGTACTTATTTATTGCCATTTTTGTTTAGTGTGGTTCTATTTTTCTTCCCATTTCTACTGCTAATTACAGCAGTCCTTTTAACATTTCTTGCAGTGCTGGTTTGGTGCTAATGTATTCCCTTAGCCTTTTTTTGTCTGGGAAGCTCTTTATTTGACCTATTTTGAATGATAGCCTTGCTGGGTAGAATAGTCTTGGATTCAGATTCTTGTTTTTCATGACTTTGATTACTTCATGCCATTCTCTTCTGGCCTGTAGTGTTTCTTGTGAGAAGTCAGCTGAAAGCCTTATGGGGTTCCCTTTGTAGGTAACCTGCTGTTTATCTCTTGCTGCTTTTAGGATTCTCTCTTTGTCTTTAATTTGTGGCATTTTAATTACTATGTGTCTTGGTGTGGGCCTGTTTGGGTTCTTCTTACTTGGGACTCTCTGTGCTTCTTGAACTTGAATGCCTTCTTCCTTCACCAAATTAGGGAAGTTTTCTGTCACTATTTTTTTGAATATATTCTTTATCCCTTGCTTATTTTCTTCTTCTTCGGGGACTCCTATGATGCGAATATTATTACGTTCCCAGTTGTCCCATAGTTCTCTTAAGCTGTCTTCCTGTTTTTTAATAGTTTTTTCCCTTTGTTTTTCTGATTGGTTGATTTTTTCTACCCTGTCTTCTAATTCACTGATCCGGTCCTCAGCTTCCCCTACTCTGCTTTTTAAACCTTCCCATGTGTTTTTCATTTCGGATATGTCATTTTTTATCTCTTCTTGTTGGTTTTTAATTTCCAAATGGCTTATTTTCAGTGTCTCTATGTCCTTACTCATGCTGTTGAGCTTCCTCAAGATCATGGCTCTGAATTCTAGCTCTGTTAACATGCCTAATTGCTCCACGTTGATCTCATCTTCGGTGGAGGTGTCTTGCTCTTTCATTTGGCTTCTGTTTCTGTGTTTCACCATTTTGGCTATCACTGTGGGCTTTGGAGCCTGTCAAGTTTTCCCTGTGGGTGTTGGTGTTCTGCTGTTTGTGGCTCCCTCTCCTGTGTTTAGATGAGCGAGGGAGGACCCGCGTTGAACACCACTGTCAAGTCTTACTTTCCTGGTTAAAGTTGCCAGCCCAGGAAAGGTACTGTTATCCTCTAGCTTTTTGCCTGGAGGCTAGCAGTCTAGGTTACTTGATGAGTTTTGGGTTGTCAGTTGATTGAAAAACTCCCTCTGGTGCTCAGCCAAGGGGCTTTCACGAGGGTGGGGCAGATGCTGGTCGTTAGTGAGCCTCAATTAGCACTTCAATGGCCCACAGGGTGGGGTTGGATCTCCGAGGGAGGGGCTGCTGCCTCTCCTCAGAGCCCTGGGAAGGAGCAATGTGGCCACCGTTCTGAGTGGCTGCACTCAGCCAAAGCTCTGAGCACCCTCCAGATCCCGAGTGTTCTGACACAGTTCCAGTCCAGTCCGCCCTCCCTCCGCCAGGGCCCAAGGTATGTGGCTGTGGCTGTTTCAGCCTCTGTCCCGGCTGCGCTGTGGGGCCGCCTGGGAGTGTGACCCGCGGGCGCCGCATACAGCTAAGGCCGCTGCCGAGCTGCCGACCGTGCGCTCCCAGCCCCGTCTCGCGCCTTCGCAAGCCTACCGGGATGGAGTCCGTGTCCCTCGTTGTATGGTCCTCGCAAGCTGCTTTTCTGTTGGTTTTTCCCGTCGATTTGTCTGTGTTATAGTGTAATTCCAGTTTGGTTCTGGGAGACGGTCTGTGTAGCTTCGTTCACTCCGCCGCCATTTTTCGGTCCCGAGTTTATTCTTGTGTATGGTGTAAGTTGATGGTCTTGCTTTATTTTTTTGCATGTAGCTGTCCAATTTTCCCAACACCATTTATTAAAGAGGCTGCTTTTACTCCATTGTATGCTCTTGCCACCTTTGTCAAATATTAATTGAGCATAATGTCTTGGGTCCATTTCTGGGTTCACTGTTCAATTCCATTGATCTATATGCCTGTACTTTTGCCCCACCCTGTAGAATTAAGAGTATGGTTAATAACATCTGAAGTACTGCAGTGTATTTATTCTGGTACCAAGGTTTTTGAAGAATAATTTGAAATTAGAAATCAGCATGCCCAGGGATTATGTTCAGATATCAATTCCATTCTATGAAAAACAGTAGTGTGAAAGTATAATTCAGAGTGTGAAATTCTTTCAGCTAAATTGACCTTGACTTTTCAACGTCCATATATAGTTTATATGCTACAAGATCTTGATATTCTTGAAGACTGGACAACAATTAGGAAGGTATGGTTAAACCAATGGAATATAAGTATATTTTTATAATCTGCTTTTTAAGATTCTATGGTTTTTCATTAGTACATTAAAATATAACTATTGTAAGTATGCTTTACTTTGCAACAGTCTCTCTAAAGCAATGCACACTAGTACAGATAATAGTGAATTGAAGGAGAATTTTAAGAGAGACATGTCAATATTTTTTTTTCTTGTAATAATGTAATTAATAATTTATACAAATGTGTAGAAAAGCATTTATTTGTGTTGCCTCCAAATAATAATGAATAACCATTCTGTGCCTAGTTCTTAGCCTAGTCCTGGCTCTTAGAAGACACTCAGTAAATATTTGTTGAATAAATGAAAATTAAAATTTGAACCTTTATTATGTTTTGCATTTTGTCATCAGAGATGCAAGAATACAGGATTTTCTGTGCTTTGAGAAAATGAAGACTTATGTTTTTCTTAATAATTTTTTTAGTTTTAGAAACGTATTAGTTGAGAATTGGAAATTATTTCAGATATTAATAATATCTTAAAAAAATTATTTTTAATATATTTATATATACCTATCTCTCTATATTTTTTTTAAAGAAATTTTTTTTAGAAAGAGGAAGGGAGAAAGAGAAAGAAACAAATTGGTTGCCTCCTGCACTTGCCCTGACCTCGGATTGAACCCATAACCTGAGTATGTGCCCTGATGGGGAATCAAACCCACTACTTTTTGATGTACAGGACAATACTTCAACCAACTTAGCCACACCAGCCAGGGCTAAAACATTTTTATTGATTGATTTCTAGAGAGAGACAGACATCGATTTGTTGTTCCACTTATTTATGCATTCATTAGTTGATTCTTTTTTTAAAATTTTTTAATCCTCACCCAAGGATTGAATTTTAGAGAGGGTGAGAAGGAGGGAGGGAGACACACACACACACACATACACACACATACACATCCCAATTGGTTGCCTCCTGCTTGACCCCAACCCAGGCCAGGGATCGAACTTGCAACCCACATATGTGCTCTTGACCCAGAATGGAACCCATGATCCTTTGGTCTAAGGGTTGATGCTCTAACCACTGACCTAAACTGGCTAGGGCCATTGGTTGATTCTTATATGTGTCCTGACTGGAGATTGAACCTGCAACCTTGGCATATCAGGATGATGCCCTAACCCACTGAGCTACCTGGCCAGGGCTCATATATATTCTTTATGGTCTTACACATTAACAACTTATTAGAAGAGCTGAAGATTATATTTCACTATGTTTGTTTTATCAGCAGTCACTGTATATATTAAATAGGTACCCAATGTATTTTGAATATGAACTTAGACAATGCCTCCTTCTCTCTCTCTCTTTTGATTAAGGCGATGGCTACACTGGGTCCACACAGAGTGAAAACAGAACGTAAGTCATTTAGTTTGAGTTCAGAAACCTTTATGGAGGGTTGTTGAGTCAGAGTAGTCATCTACATACTAAAGAGCTACCCCCATCAGTAGTTTAATTTCATTAGTTCACATTATACTTGAAATTATGAGGTATTCTGGAGTCTTTGCCTCATATAAAAGTTTCAAGATTTCTGAATAGAATGTATTTCTTATTTCAGTGTTTCACCTACATTACTATTACTAATAATGGATCAATAATTTTAAAAGTATTTATTTAGTGTTGTTTATGGGCCCAGTAATTCTATAGGGGAGGTGTGTGGTATCAATGGGAATCCCCTGGAATTGTGAGCAAAATGTTTTCTGTGTCTGAATTTTTTGGGAGAGAGATTTGAACACTGGCAGTGGAGTCCATCAGAAAACTTGACACACCACTAAGATTTACACATTCTGATATACCTTAGTAAAATTTGTATCAAATTATATTTCTTGACTTTTTTTGAAAGTCTAAATATCACTGCTGAGTTCATATCTGAGTCCAACAACTGCAAAAAGTGGGTTCCCACAACAACCATGTGCCTGGAAGAGGACCCAGAGCCTCCAACCCTGACCAGCATCCAGTGCAGCCTTGAGGCCCTGAGCAGAGGCCCAGCTCACCTGTACCTGTACCCACAAAAATGTTTAAATTGTCATTTTTGTTTTGTTTTGTTTTTATCCTCACCCGAGGACATTTTTGTATTAATCTTCATGTAGAGCGGGAGGGAGAGAGGGAGGAAGAGAGAGAGAGAAACATCGATGTGAGAAAGACACATCTACTGGTTGCCACACACACGACCCCAACCAGGGTCGGGAACAGACTGCAACTGAGGTACGTGCCCTTAGTGGGAACTGAACCCAGGCTTCTCTGGTCCTTGGGCCGACACTCTAACCGCTGAGCCAAACCAGCCAGGGCTAAATTGTCAGTTTTGATTATGATTCCATAGAACTCAGGCAATGCATAGTAGTTTCTCTTCATTTTCAACATGTATATCAAAGTCCAGTTTGGCCCTCTGAATCAGGATGATTCACCTAGCAAAGGAGAAAATAGAGAGATATATGACATCCAGGAAGCAGGAGATTCAACAATCATGAGTCGAAGGATATTCATGTGATCGTGAAAGGGGATTCCAGAGGGTCACTTTGCAACAAGTCCTGATCGCAACAAGATGCCAGCTGTTGATAGATTCATCCAGGAGGGATGTTTTAAGGAAAAACAAAAAAACAAATATAGATTACCTTACATGTTTGAATGTATAACAAAGTGGTTCATATATTTCTTAAGGAGAGTCTGGACATGAATTTGTGATAGATACATTTAAAAAATTAAATTATCAGTATACCATACCAATAACCCCGTGTTTTAACTCCAGGGAGAAAATAAGTTGTTACACAAAAAATGCAGTTATGCTATTGTACATTGTTACTGCACTCACATTTAAAGTCATAGTAAAACACAAATAAAACACTGAAAAAAATAATCTGCCAAAGTAGTGATGGACATTATTGTGTAGGATAACTCTTTCTGCCTTCTTTTACTATATATGAAATTTTTTAATTCTTTTAAGAACAAGGAAGCTAGATTTTTAAAATACATGTTTCAAATACTAAGAAGAATCACATTGCAACAGATAAAATAATCTATAAGAGATCGAATTCTATTTTATATTTAACCCAAAGATTAATCTTTAAAGTTTATTATCAGGTCATGAAACTGTAGCAATATTGTACTAAACTACTTCCCTTAGAAATTAACTGGCAGGGTAACTACCTAAATCTCTAGGTTATTAACATTTTGAGTCATGAATTCCTTTGAGAATCCTATTATACTATTGCTTGGGTCTTCTCCCCATTCCTGTTATCTGTAGCATTGTGTCCTATGTGTTTTCTTCATAGCACTTACCACAACTTGTAATTTTTTCTTTATTGTTTACATATTTATTTGTTTCCTGACAGGATTGTAAGCTCCACAAAAGTCAGAATCATATTTCTTTTCTTTTTTCAGTATCTTTCTTTTAGTCATAGTGCTCATTCAACATTTGTTGAATGAATGAACAAGTGAATGAGTGAATGAATGAATACTATTGAAACCTTCTGCATACCAGGCACTGTTTGAGGCTCTGAGAATACAATGATGCAAGAGAAGGACCCCAGGATTTTTGAGAGGGAGGCAGAATAATATATATGTAATTAAATAATTAACGAGATAATGACAAATTGTAATAATTGCTGTGAAGGAAATATAATGTGATGAAGATTAACTGAGAAGTGGTTAGGGTGGTTGGAGAAGACCTTTCTGAGGTGGTGACATTTGAATGATGAAGAGGTGCCTACTTCATGGTATACTTTTGACAATGTTCTCTCATAAAGGACATTTTTACTCTGCATGAGTTTATCTGATGAATGCCAAACCATTTATAAGATTTAAAAAGAGAAGTTCTACTTAGGACATTTTCTTATTAGGATCAAAGTCTTGGGGAGTTCATGGAATATCTACTAAACTCTGCTTGTTTGGAAGTGTAGACAGCTGCAAGGGAGAAAATATAATTTTCAATGGAAACACAGCAATTGACTTTTTAACTCCTTAAAATTGTCCTTAGTAATTGATAATGTCCTGCTTCTCTTTCTGGCACTTGTCTAGTTAATTGATGATTTAGTGTATATTATTTAGCTTTGTTTAGTACTTAATTAATTATATTAAAAATGTAAGAAATTAAATTCTCTTCTGTTAGATTTAGGTTTGTTATATAAGACACATTTTTAGTGTTTTTTCACATATATGCATGGATTGCTGTTAATTCCTAATGTTTTGCACTTTTGTTCTGACAATGTCTTATTAGTATAACAGTTTTTGAACTGATCCCTTTAGCACCTGTGAAATTAGAAAAACATCTGCACAGTGCCAGATCTGAAGAGGGAAGATTATATTATGATGGTGAATGGTATATACGTGGACAAACAATATGTATTGACAAAAAAGATGAATGTCCTACAAGGTAAAAAGATTTTATCATTTCAATGTTTATACCACTGTTGTCAATAAATATTTGCTGCTGCTATAGTGTATTCATGATATATCACTAGTTGCCTATGGATCTTTTTTTCCTCATGACATACGATTTGATTAACATGCATGCATGCACACCAGTGTTAATATTTATATACCAGAGTTACATAGTAAGTTCATGAACACAAGCATTAGCACAAGTGAAATCTTGGAATTATTTAGCCAGGTAAGAGATCCTATTTGTTAATTTTTATAGTAGATGACTTGTTATGACCTTTAAATCAGAGTATTGTGAATTTGACAGCGTGTTTCCATAATGTGTGGATCTTTCAGTCCTTCGCTTTGTGTGAGTGTGTGTGTGAGAGAGAGAGAGAGAAGAGAGAGAGAGAGAGAGAGAGAGAGAGAGAGAATTTTGGATAAGAAGAATTTGGATCAATTAGAGGAGAAAGTGAATGTAAAACTCATGAAAACTTTAAGAGTAACAGTAATTAAAGTATAACTCTTAAACGGAAATAGCCTTTTAAGAGACTTAATCTGTCTAGGCTTAAATTAAGTTTATATAATTATATAGCCTTCTAAGTTTTATCTGCTTATAGCCTTCAAAAAATATTACTACTAATTACTGTTTTAATTCCTCAGTTGCTAAAGATATAATTCTCAGAGTAGTAACCATCTACATTAAGAAAATATCTATTTAGGTTTCAGTGGTAAGTAAAGTGTTTGTATTTAGTATAGAATATTCATTTTCAAAATACAGTGGTTTTAGTCATATTGTAATTTCATATTTAAATTTTTAGGATACCGGGAGCATGGTGTATAGTATAGTAACTTTACTCAGAAGCTCACTGAGCTAATTTCTAGGTTATAGATGATAACCCTGGATTCTTGACTTTATCTTACTGCTTTTGAAATATTTTACTATTACTTAGGATAAATGTGATTTTAAAAAGAGATGAAATAGGAGACAATTAAACAAAAATCTATTAAAAATTATTTTCTTTATTGATTTTAGAGAGAGAGGTAGAGAGAATGATAAAGAGATAGAAACATTGATGAGAGAGAACATCGATTGGCTGCCTCCTGCATGCCCCCCACTGGGGATTTTACCCACAACCTAGGCATGTGCCCTGACCCGAAATCTAACCAGCAACCTCTTGGTACATGGGTTGACATTCAACTGCTGAGCCACACCAGCCCAGCCAAAAATCTATTTTTAAAAAGATTTCTAGCCCTGGCCGGTTTGGGTCAGTGATTAGAGTGCTGGCCCGTGGACCAAAGAGTCATGGGACCTTGGTTACAGTTCCATCCCCAGCCCTAGTTGGGGTCGTGCAGAAGGCAGCCAATTGATGTGTTTCTCTCACATTGTTGTTTCCCTCTCTCTCCCACTCTATCTGAAAATCAATGGAAAAATATCCTTGGGTGAGGATTAAAAAAAAAAGGTTTCTATATGTGTACATATAGAGATTAATAGTGTACAAAAATTCTGTGCAAGTACCATAGAGGCTTGACACTGGGAGTTAGGGATTGGTATTGGAAAGATTTTTACAGCCAAGACTGATATGAGTTGGCGGTGTAATACCATATAAGTAGTGGTCTTAGCTCCACTCTGTTTTTTTGGGGGGAGGGGGGAATAAGGTGGGATGGAGTAGGAACAATATGTATTTAATAGTTCTTATAGTAATTTTACCAACTCTATTAAAAAAAGAAAGAAAAGTATCTATTAGGTGTTTCTGAATGTGATATTTTTGACAATGTGCCCAGCTGATTGTCAGCGTTCTGGTAAAAAGCAGTTGCGTACCTGAATCTACTCTTGTAGTCCATCTATTTTGATTTTATAGCTAGTACTCGGAACCGTGTAGAAGAAGAATATTGTAATTCATTCATTCACTTTTTTTTTTCTCCCAATCCTTTTTAGTGCCGTAATTACAACAATTAACCATGATGAAGTTTGGTTTAAGAGGCCTGATGGAAGCAAATCTAAGCTTTACATTTCACAGCTACAGAAAGGAAAATATTCAATTAAACATTCGTAATCATGATTTAAGTGTTATCTAAATCTACCTTATTAGTGTTACCAAATGTGATGTGCCATGGGAGTAAAAAAATGCATTCAATAATTTAATATTCTCGCTGAATCATGAGGGAATATTATTTGTAGGTAGTATTCTAAGTAGACTTCATACTGATATGTTATTAAAAGAGACAGAAAAAAAGTTTAATTGTGATCATTACACTTATTTGCCTTTTAGGTTCAATGACCAATAGGTGTATATGGTAGGTGTTTCTTACTAAACTTTTTTCTTGGTTAATATGCAGATCTATGTATTTAGTGAGCTATGTTGCTAAATGGCTAATTTTATCTGCAATTTCCCCCCTCATATCTTTGTCACTCATTATGTGTTTGTAAATAAGCCTCATAAAACATTTCCTATAAGTGGTTTGTACTAGTATATTAGTGTTTAATCAGAATTGAAATTTAATCGTATATATGTGAGTATGTATATATGGCATTATCAGCTTGTTTAGAACTGATGGCCTTACTTTACAATCTTGTTTTACCCAAAATGAAGCTATTGGGTTTGACATCTAAAAGGAGCACTTTTATAGACTAGCAGCTTTCTTTCTTCTCTTCTATGATTGTATAGTGGTGACCTATTTTTACAAATTATACTTAATGTTAATTAGTAAAATTAGTGTCAAGTAATAACTTGCTTCTATGTGTGTTTCCTGTGAGTCATTAGAGGGCAGGTGTTTGTGCTGCAGCGTTAATGGTGGACAGTACCTGACAGTATTGTGGTGCTTGCTCTGCATTCTGATCTTTGGAACAGATTTTTAGTAAGCATTTTCCAGAGGTAAAAGTAGGTTCTTATCCTAATTTTATTCCTAGAGCAAAGTAGACAGGGATAATTTCCCTGGATTTATTCTCAAATTAGAAATTTTATCTACACTTCTACTAAATTCTACACTTTAAGGGCACTTGGTGCAATTTAGAAAGTATTGGCCTCTTCCCTTAGCCACATTCACAATTAACTTCTAAAACCTCAGGAACAGTACGAAGAATCGAAACCCTCAATATGGCAGCACAGTTGGCTGTAGTGTATATATTAGGGTACAACCAAATCAAGTATTCCTGGTGGTCGTGTGCACTTTAATTTCTGTTATAGTGAGACTTAAGAGGATAAGGAAGAGATCTACTTACTAACACTTAGGGCAGGAATATCTGCGTTATTCCATTTGTCGTCTGACTATTTTACCTCTGCAAACAGCTTCCTGAACGGATCACTACTTCACAGTTGCCAAATGTTAAAATATTTGACTTCTGAAAGTCATGTCAGCAAAATTATGTACTTTGTTCTGTTTCTAATTAACCTTAGCAAATGTACATAATGTCATAATCTGATAGTATTTGACAGTACTTATGTATACAATGTTTCATAAGCATTTTTAATAAGATTTGTATTTTTAAATTTAGTATATAATAAAAAATGTGTTTGAGTGTCATTTGTAGTGTCTTGTGTATAAGTTCTTTTATTATTTATAACCTGTCTACTTCTAAGAAGGATTTGAGCCAATTTACATTAATAGATGTGGAGTGCTGAAAAATGTTCTTGCTTCCCTAAAGCACAATTCACCCTCTGTTGGGGTATATTTAGATATATAAGACAGCTACTTTATACTTAATTTTAAAATATGCATATATGTTATACTTTAATAAAAACGTACTGTATAAGTTCTGAAATTCTAAATAGAAAGTTTTTATTTATTATTTGTTTATTTATTTTGAGAGTATGTTTATTAAAGCTGGGGACAGCGAAGCAAAGGAGGACTTAGGGTAGAAGAAGCAACAGGAGAACCTAGGCGGTGCTCTGCTTCGCTCCTAGAAACGTTAGAAGAAAGAAGTGAGCCACACTGGGGCTGCTGTTAGCTCCCTGGAGGTCAGAGGAAAGGGGGCCTTGGAGATAGGCTCAGGGGGTGAGCCTGGGATAGCTGCTGCCATTGCTCCCCTGGTTGCAATCCTCCTAGGGACCCTTAGAGTTTCGGAGAGAAAAGTAAAGATGCACACCTGAGAGGGAAGAAAGGTGTGGGCGTGCTTCAGAGAGAGCCCGTGCTGTGTCTTTGTCTTAGGGGTTCTTACCTGTTCTCTAAAGGTCTTAAAGGAGGATCTCAATAGAATTTCATCAGCTTTATGCTGATGTGCCAAAATGAGATTTACTCCCCTGACTTCATCCATCCTCGGGTGTGGTTGGCACAAATGGCACTAATTGGACTTCTGTTATCTGTCTCCCTGAGTAGGGTGATTTAAGATATTTACCCTCTGGTTGGAGAGAAGTGTAAACCATTTACTCTTAAATGCCCTTGGTTTGGGAAGATAGAATTTTGCAGATGACTAAACTCCTTGGCCATTAAACTATCTATTTCAATTTCCCTGTTCCCCTTGTCCTGGCTCACTAGCCTGTCTCATTCCTCCCTTAGAGACTTCCATCCTTGAAATCTCTTAGGGGTGATAAGGGAGGACAGTCTGTGTTTAGTATGTGCTTCCTGCTGACAAGGATCGTGGGACCTGCCTGCGTAGGGTATGGAAGTCCCCCTGCCTGACCTAAGGGGACAAGAGAATGGGATCAGAGACCCAGACAGAGTCTGTTACTGACTCTTCTAAAGTAGGGATGGGCTGGAATCCCTGGAACATCATCCTTTTGATACGGAATTGTTGCATCCCGGTCAATACAGCTGATGACCAATTATGAGCCTTCCAGTACCAGGGGCGTGGGATGAAGGGCCAGTTCAGTTACTCCTTAGAGTTCTATACATCTTCATACTTAAAGGTATGATCTGAAAATTTTAGTTTTAGAAATCTGTAATTTAGAATAAGTCAGAGTTCTTTCCACAGATTTTTCTAAAGTATATTTGCAAATGCACCAGAGTAAAGCAAAGACTGTCTCTAAATGATGAAAACTTAAAGCGACGTGGTTAGAAATACAGGAAAATCATTGTCCTAGAGTGAAGCCAATTTCCAACTCTGTTTTAACTTACTTTTGGTACTTAAATTCATTGACTTAATTCATTATTCAGCTTAACTATATAACTTTCCCTCAAGATTTCTCTTCACAAACCTACAGCTTTTACAAACTTTCACAAGCCTTCTCCAAAATTTTTATTTTAAAAATGATGATTTAGCACATTTACTGTCAAAACTTTAATATTTATTTTTTTAAATCCTCACCTGAGGATATTTTTCCATTTCCATTGATTTTTAGAGAAAGTGGGAGGGAGGAAGGGGGAGAGAGAGAGAGAAACATCGATGTGAGGGAGACACGTTGATTGGTTACCTCCCACACGACCCCAACCAGGGTTGGGGATTGAACCTGTAACTGAGGTACATGCCCTTGACTGGGAATTGAACCTGCGACCCTTCAGTCCACAGGCCGATGCTCTAACTGCTGAGCCAAACTGGCCAGGGCAAAACTTTAATATTTATATATAACTATTTCATAATATCGACATTGATTCAGGTAAGCATATGCAACCAAAATACTATAGGATATATTTTGTTCTAGTGAAAAGGCTTGGTCTGGGGGAATTGTTAGTCTGTGAAGTATGATGTAACAGCTGCTGCTGCAGCTATTATGTTTATGATCAGCCTCTGTCTTAGGATCAATTTAAGGGTTTTCCTGCTATAGATCCCAATATTTTATGCTCAGTTCACCCATTCCTGCTATTTTACATTTTTAAGAAATCTAGCCCTGGCCACTGTGACTCAGTGGTGAGAGCCTCGGCCTGTGCACTGAAGGGTCACGGGTTTGATTCCCAGTCAAGGGCAAGTACCTGGGTTGCAGGTTGATCCCCAACCCCAGTCGGGGCATGTGTGGGAGGCAGCGGATCAGTGTGTCTCTCTCACATGATGTTTCTCTCCCCCCGCCCCTTCCCTTCCACTCTCTAAAAATCAGTGGGAAAAATATCCTCGGGTAAGGATTAACAAAACAATAAATAAATAAAATAAGTTTTAAAAATGCACTAATCCAATTTATCACAAATAATTATAAACAAGCAGTATTGGCATACTCCTCATTCTATCCCTTTTTTCATTGTTCACTTGGGCTGGGCACTAAGTACTTTTTATTGTAGCCTTCCTCATGTAAAAGTTGTTCTGAGGTAGATACGGTTACTCAGAACTCATACCACTGACAGAACCATGTGCATACAACTCATTGGTGGTTATTTAAAAAGAGCAGGGTCCTGGCCTGTTGCTCAGTGGTTAGCGCATTGGCCCATGTTCCAGAGATACCCGCCAAGAGCATGTACCTCGGTTGCAGTTTGTCCCTGCCCCGGTTGGGGTCGTGTAGGTGGCAACCAGTCGATGTGTCTCTCTCACGTCAATGTTTCTCGCTCTGCCTCTCTATGCAAAAATATCCTCGAGTGAGGATTGAAGAAAAAAAAAAGGCAGGGTATGGGCTGTTATTATTTCTAAGATTTTGTTTTTGGACTTAGTAAGCCCTATACACTAAAATTGAACTAAGATAAGGAAAATGGATGCAGGATGAATGAATAGTATATTAGGATTTATGTAGTTTCTTGCCAAATAGTTTTAAAGAACACGAAAGCCCAGAACGGGGTTAGAGGATACGCATGATCCTTATTTGTCTTTGTGGGTAAACTATAAGGATTGTGCTCCTGTGCTGGGGGGGGATTCACTGCGGCCCAAAGTCTTGCTTTTTACTTCACAGGCCCAGACACTTGAACTTGATCTCTATGTCCTGTTAGGGACTGAATTGTGCCTCCAAATTCCTCTGTTGAAGCCGCCACCCTCAGTACCTTAGAATGTGACTGTATTTGGAGATAGTTCTTTTAAAGAGGTGTTCAAGTTAAAACGAGGCTCTTAGGTTAGGGCCTAATCCAGTCTGACTAGTGTCCTTATAATGAGGAAATTTGGACAACAGAGGAAAGACCATGTGAGGATACAGTGGGAAGGCGACTGTGTGCAAGCCCAAGAGAGAGGCCTCTGAAGAAACAGCTGTGGACACCTTGATTCTGAACTTCTAACCTCCAAAACTGTGAGAAAATAAGTTTCTGTTGGTTAACGCACCCTGTTTGTGGTATTCTGTTACGGCAGCCAGAGCAGACTCATACGGGCTCCACAGTGCCAGCTCTGGGGCAGCTAGACTGACCAACTCACGGGGCTGAATGACAGCCTCGTGTCACTTTAGTAACTTAACAGTGGGAAGTGTAACTGACAAGGAGAACACACTCCTCAACTCAACCAGCTGGCACATTCTTTCCTTCTAGGGAAATCTATTTGAAAGCCAGCTTGTCATCAGAAGATTTCTTTATTTTAGAGAAACCAGGTAGTCACCTGCCCTCTGGTGAGGGCACCCCCTGCCTGGTATTGTGCTGGACACATTGCTATTACCTAAATGTTCACTTTGTATTTTCCTGGTGGCCTGCTGATTGAGATCTCTCTGCAATGAATGTGCTGTGCAGGTCTTGCCCACAGCCCCTTCTAACTTCTTCTTTCTAAGCCTCTGCTTTGCCATTCCGGCCAGCGTATTGGACCAGTGTGGTCCCTGACTCATGGGCAGCCAGAGATGATAATACTTAACAATTTGAGTATTTGCTGTGTGTCAGGAACTATGTTTAATGTATAAATGAAAAATCATTTAATATAGTTTATGTTTAAAATAGTGAATGTAAATGTAAGAATTCGGATATGTTTATTCTTTATACAGTTATCATCTATTAGGACTTTCTGGTCATGAAGTTCTTCTCAAGGTATGAGAGGCAAAATACTGCGGCAGGACTTATACATTGAGTGTTCTAAAGTTGAGTTGATTATCTCAAGTTGCTAATCTTTCTGAAAAAAAAAAAAAGTTATATCTATTTAAAAAGCAACTATAAGTCTAAAATTTCTTTGCTCCTATATTTGAAGCTACGTTTTGTTTTTAAAGGAAGATCAAGGGAAGAAGTTATATAGTAACAGTCTTTAAAATTTCATTTTTTTCTGTATCTAATATAGGTTTGACATGGTGACCTTGTCAGGAGACTGTGGCATTCTCTTGAAGAGAGAAGAGCTACATGTAGCATTTCATCTTTGCTAGTAAAGATTACAGTTTCTGTTAAAACGCTTAGAAAACCAGGTCTTGAAGCAAAGGCTAAGCTGCATCTACTATTAGAGGAGGTTGAAAGAAATATCATATTTCGTTTATTATTGAAAGAGTTTGAAAATAGCATTGTTAATGGCAACAATAGTACTTTCACTTGTTTGATGATAAATTTATGATTTCAATATATTTAAGTACATTGATGGGTAATTGATGCTCTTATTAAGGAAGACATTAAAAAAAGACTTCAGACATTGTATAAATTATTGACTAAAGCAGTTTTTGATTTGAAGCTTACAGTCCATGGTATCAACTTATATTTATCAATACATTTATATAATATGTATATATAGAATGACATTATCCACTACACAAGGGCCAACTTGATTTGGGACTTTCCTACATG